CATCGAGCGTGTCTTTACCATAGACATGATAAGGAAACCGAAAGTAAGACACACTAAAACATAATCAAAAAACTATGAGGATGAGTGCTAACTTCAGATCTTTAACTAAAAATCCATGTCTAATATAATACTGGCAAAATTATAGCTCCCTGAAACTGTACGATTCAATTAGGAACAAAAACACACCTCAGTGAACTATTTGAATCTCCAACTCTGAATTGCACACACTGTTGATTGGGAATGCGAGCTCTCCCCAAGTTACAAAATTGCTTGGTCTGTCTCACCGTGCTATTGACACACCGGTTAGTAGTCTAATCAGCACAACCATTCCCGATTTTTTTCGTGACAGGTCACAAGCGGTTGCACGTAAATCCAAACAGGCTTTGGGACTAAATATAAACTATCGATCCCGTCAGAGCGCAGCTCAGTTGGGGGAACTAGTGGTGTGTGGCCGGTGGATTGACTTCAAATGGAAGCTTCAGTGACTGAGACGCAATTGAAATTTTAACGGTATGTGTCTTATATTGCCGCCTGCTTCTGCCTTAAGCAGTTACTGAGAAAAGCATTTATAAAGTTGTTAGGCAGCACTTACGTTGGATTTCCAAAAATGGTCACGTTTTGTTTTGTAGGATACAAACAGAAAGAAATGTTTCGCAAAACATACAAATCGACGGGAAATAGTCGACTGTAATGCGTAGATTCGATATAACTTGAGCGTTGGAAGGAACACGTGAGCCTGATTTAATGAATGCGTGCAGGTTGGATTACGTCGAAAATTGGATGCATGGTGACAGATAGTCCAAAAGGGTTAGAATTTTCCGACTAGAATATAACGTCACACAGATGCATTTTGCATGCCTGTGTAGTCAAGAATAAAGAAAAAAAATTTTCCTCATTCTGACTGCAAGGCTATTTATTCTATTTACCCTCTAGGTTTTTACATCGTGTTGGTATGTGTGTACATATAAGTTAGACACAAATGTGTATTTTCGAGTAGGCTAGAAGCACCGTTTCGGTGGTTAGTAAGTTTCAGTGAATCATTCGCACGTTGCATTTTGATGTTTTTTAAATATGTAAATGCCTATTACGGATTCTTAATTCGACTGTGCAACTATGTTTGATGTTTAATGAGGTTTTGGTACTGCACATGATGTGGTACTCAGCAGTTTTTTTGCAAATTTAGTATGGCATACGACAGGCGATTTCATATATGCTGACAAAATCCCGCCGATGCTGCTAGATCAAAGCTTCATACGTCGGAAAATATGGGAAATGCACGGGAACGGAACACGATACAATGGATGCGATACAATGGATGTTACCTATTGTGATTAGTTTAGTGTTTTCTTTGCCTACAGCATGATATTGTTAGAAACAATGAGTGGATAAAAAGGTGCATTATGCAAGGATGAGCTATATGTTCTTTCTCTTACTGCTGTCATGTACACGTGATAATGTTAAGCCTGATATGGCAATACTGTTACTCAGATAATGCGGACGAATGACATAGTGTAATCGCACCGCTGGATCAGCACCCATAGATAAATGAATGTACACAGGCAGGCACAGCTTAGTACGACTAAATGACAGTAGCAGTGCAGCCACTGAACTCAGTTAGCTTCGTTTATCATACTAGGTTCATGAGAGGGGATTGAATGAATACGTTTAACTGCAGTCGTCAGTATCCAGCTTGTCTTGGCAGTGCAGGCAGCGGATCTACCAATGGTCAAGTAGAGAAAATGAGGACTCTGCTTATCTTTACAAATCCACTCTTCTATTAATTTGAGAGATAATATTTGTATGGACTAGTGAAGAGCACGTAACGCTTTACGGTTGAACATTAAAATTCCGTTCGGTTTTAGTACAAAAATACTTTGTTTAGAAGTGCGGGTTTAAATAGGCGCCAGTGAGAGATATTATATGTGTTCGTTAGATCATACCTGGTCAATGGAACTGTACTTACTGAATTTATGTACACAATAATTAGATCATGTCACTGGTTTTTCCCTGCTATAGTAGTTTATCCCAGGTACAATGTCTCTGAAAAAGTCATTAAAGACTCCTTTATTATTTAATATGAACAGTTGCAATGCATTTGATACTTTAAGATGTTGCTCGAGTTAGAGTGGGAACACAGAGGGACACGTGCAAGATATAACAGCCAATAGAAGTTATTTCTAAACGTATGGATATTTAATGGGAAATTCCTTTTGGTGCAAAGTAATACACTACCTTGTTGCTGTCAGTTTATGTTCTGCTAAGGATGTCAGCATGCAGTATTTTACAGCTAGCAGGTACATAAGTGTGCCCGTGAATTACATCGAAAATGATTGGCATTTTTGTTTGAACATTTGCGCAGGGATATCGGGTCTAGCATCAACATTTCGCAGACTTTTAATTTCCTGTCTCTAGGCAGAAGACGATATATACGTTGTTGTGGCGATAAAGCTTTTTTATTTTGTCCCATCTAGATTTGTGTACAGAGTTACGACTACAGGTTGTTTAAAACCAATACTTTAATTGTAAGCTTTTTTGACAGAATATATCATGCCACGTATTTTCAGGCCTATCCGTGACTATTACAAATTCAAGTGAGAAAAAACAAAATTCCGGGTACGATATAGTAGCTTTAATAATCCTTCCGCTGTACATCGGTGTGTTTACTAAGAGTGGCCTGTTAGCCTAGCACAAAATATAATCGCTTTTGGTTCCGCGAATTTTCCTTGTTTTTGTAACTAAATTTCCAAGCAAAAATTACTGCTCGAATTATTATGAATGTTCGCCAGCCACTGGTGAAAGCGTCAAGTCTAGTTGACCGCTCCGAGACCCATCTCATATTCGGCATTCAGATATTGCTAAACTAAGTATATGATATTTTTAACCAATAGTGAATTGTAGATCATTTGCCTGTGTTATAAGCAGACCAAGTCAGCAGAGATGCTGTGCAAATCAATCCAAGACACAAGAGGCTTTTTATACTCAAATTGGTGCGTCTTCATCGGATACAATATCACTGACGATACACTGAATGATGAGAGCAGTAAAAACTATACAAATACAAATCTGATAAGAAAATAGCCAAAGGTGTGTAGATGTCATCCAAGGAGCCGTATCGCAAAGTAATTGACCACAATTGGGCTGACAAACAAACGTGTCAGCTAAGGTAAGTATGTGTTACGATAAGAAGAAGTGTGAGAGTATAAAACCTAAAATTGACATATAACGTGCGTGAATATTGAATAATGAAATTAGAGATCAATAGGAAATAAATCTTGTTTGATTCATGTCGGTTAGGTCGGGTACCTGCGCATAATCACGTCCCTGATTCTTCACGGTAGCAGGACATTACAGCTGCACTGCATATATCCAGTTGCGATACGCCTTCAATCCCTGTACTCTGAAAAGTCTGCATCAAGGAATCTCCTAACTTCCGACACCGATTCCGTCTCAAATATTTTCTCGGGCAACGTGTTCCTTATTTCATTACTCGACGCTCGAAGCATAAAGTGTGAACAATACACTTCAAATCCGGTACCACCAGTTTGTACCGGTGTCCGCGTGTGCCGCTTGGTGAGCGAAGGTGCAGCAGCTGCCTCAACATAAGGAAGTGACCCACGTGCAGTATCTGGTGCCTCATTATGAGATCAACTTGAAGTCGACGAAATGACAGGTTATCCTGTCCTAGTCTCCTACATCGGTCCTCCTAAAACATACAGCGCAAATTACGGATGAGCCGGATAGCTACCTGCTGAACTTATTCTATCTCGGACCTCATTTATTGTGCTCGGACAATAGGCAGGTGAGCCGTACTGTAGCACCGGTCTTATCATTGGAGAGAACAGGCGAGTGGCAATCTTTTCAGACCAAGTGCAGAAGCTGCGTCTAAGCGAGCAAAGCACGAGTTCTCCGTTTCCGTACAGTCTGTTCCTCTTGTCAACGGACTTTAGATCACTGCGTCAGAGTACACCTAGATCTTTTACTTAGCTTGCCGGATACAGCGGTTGGTCGGTTATGGTGTACATTAGTCCATAACCATTCCTTCCCAGACTCATACATAAATGACGACTTGACCGGGTTGCTCGGCAGATCAACTTGTAAAGAACACAGGGTGAGACGGTGGAGTTTCCGCTGAAGGACGTCACAGTCGTCGGAAGAATTAATAACCATCCAAATCCTCAACTCATATGCAGACAATGCACAGGGCAACCGGAGAAGCTGAGGTATTTCGTTGATATGAATCAGGAACAAAATGGGCCTGAGTACTATGCCTTGGAATACGCCGCTGGTGCAGTGATACCATTCCGTTAAGTGGTTATCCACATGTACCCGTCATTTTCTCCCAATGAGGAAATCACTGATTCACTGGTGCAGTGCGCCATCAACACCACACATTCTCACCATGTGAGGGAGCACCTTTTGTTTACTTTATCGAAATCGTTACTGAAATCAATGTAGGCAACATCTGTTGATTTCTCTAGGTGAAACGCCTGAAACCATCTGTTCCGCCGCAACAACAGTTTGGTGACGCAGGAGCGGCCTTTAATGAAATTTTGCTGCGTTGGCTTTAGGGGAGGTCTTTTGACTCTAACAGCTAAAGAAAACCCTTTTTCACAATCTGCTCGAGCACTTTTGTCAAAACAGTTGTCAGCAAAATCGCCCGGTAATAGTCCACCTTAGTCGCTTCACTGCCTTTCGGAATCGGCTTTACTATAGAGCGTTTTCAGTCGCTCAGCAATGCACAGTAAGAAAACGATCTGTTGAACAGATCAGCCACAGCATGCGAGATGATAGCTGATATGAACTTTAGTATTAGCAGATGGTGGGCTTCGGGTCTAGCAGGCTTTTTGACGTTTAGACTGGCGAATAGACTGCGGACATCTACACCGCAATCAAAGCACACGAGTTCCGCAGAAGCTTCACACTCGAGTTCGGCATGCGCCCATGACTAACAATAAATACGGAAGCGAAGTGCGTTGCAAATGCAAATGCACGTTCAATACTGGAAGTCAGATGCAGTCCATCCGAGCTCTTCAACTCTGCTAGTTCACCTGCTGGCCTCAGGCGTCATTTCATGCAATCAATTAACTTATTGGGGTCTGACATCGCTGAGGTTGCGAGATCCTCTGCAAATTGTCAACACTTTCGTGCTTTGGCGCTGTTGCATAGTCTCCGCTGCCTCTTTTGCGCCGCTTAATCGTCGACAGAGCGATAAACTTGGTATGTATACAACTGTATGCATCGCCTTTGAGCTAATTGGCCATATGTTCTGTCTAACCATTGTGGCTTTACTGGTCCAGTTTTTCTATATTTGCGGAGCATGAAAGGAGCGCACATCTATCGAACAAGCGCTTGTATAACAGATCAACGGAATTCAAGAGAGGGATCATGCAGTGGCGGTCGGCATACTTCACTAGGGCTCGATTGGGCCCATGGATATCACTCTTCCAGTTATAGTAGGACAGATCCAGCGAACGCGATTAGGGCTCCGGCAGCTCTAGCTTGGCTAAGACCATCGAGTGGCCACTAGAGGCACCAGGACCTGGCTATAATATGTACCCTAATCGCAACTGCTTAATAATATGTTCGAGAATGATGGAGCGGAATGTGGCGTAACGCGTGTCGGTTGGCCGACTTGTTGTGCTGCTCCAGTCCCAAATATCATCACTGCAAATGGCGCCTCAATTTCACAGTACCACTGGGAGAAGTGGAATCTCTGGCCACTGAATTTGTGGTAGATTAAAATGGCCCATATAAAGAAAACGGAGCCGGGTCATTTAGCTTCTGATATGCGGTAACCAATCAAGACATCGACTTTACCGGCTGCGACAAAATGCACAAACAGTTCACTATGTCTCAGGCGGATCGAGCACCACAGCTGTTCACACAGGTCATCTTAACTTCGATATGTGTTCACTAGTCTCCCGCACAGCGAGGACCGAATTTATAACATCACGCCATTGCGTTCTTTTGATAGTCTGTCGTACCGTAAGCACGAGTAGAAACGGATCTAGAATTCTTTTGTAGTAATAATGGGAGTTAACTAGGATTCGGCCAATCCTAGAACGTCCAAATGAAGGGTGGAAACGAAGTGACATAGTTCGTCATGTTCGTTCATTTAGGTGCAAAGCTTTATGAAAGCTACTCGCCGGCCACGGTAGGAACCGCCTGACATGTATGAAGCCTCATGGAGTTGTTGATCCGGTTTCGAGGAACCCGATGAACTACTCGAAAATTGCTGATGCGGACATTACTTATTGCACTACTGGTAGGACGTATCTGCTCAATAAGAGCGGATTTCAATTGCTCTCAACCCGACCGATCCATTTCCGGATTAATGTGAACCTTCAACCATATGAGCTCACCGAGGCGGGATACTACCAGTCTCGGACTGGCGTCGTCTTCAAAGCTGAAATATAGAGGCCGACTCTTCTACTCATCTCTTTTTTTCAAGCCGGGTGGTTTGCTTTACCCTTAACCCCTGTTAACACACGTCGAGGAGCCTTTCAAACAGGTACAGTAGCATTTCAACGTATTGACCATAACGAGGTTGAGGATTCGTATTCGTTGAGTCAGAAGCGTGAAGCTTCATATGGTTGTAGTGCCGCTGATTGCTGGCAGTTGCCTTTGCATTCTTACTTCGTTGCTTTCGCCAGTCGCCTACTCCTCCTGAGTGATCGCAACCGGGTTACTACATCCCGTCGAAATGAACCCAGGCAAGCCAGCAGCGGTTTTGCTATCATACTGTAGGGTCCACATCCGAGGGTAAGAAGGCTCGTTCAAGCTGTCGAGTAATTGAATGTCAGCCTTCTGAGCTGAACGCACGCAGCCCCTCGATTTGGAACACGTTGCTTGCCTTGCTAGCTCGCCTCGTTAATCGACTTCCTCCTGTTGCGTTTTACTCCGGCTCTGCTTGCAAAATATTTGGACGTACTCATTCTTAATCCCACATAAAAGATTAAATTGCTCAATGGTAAGACCAAAAAAGGAAATATGACATTTCACACGACACAAGAAGAAACTAACTGCATTAGCTTGATGTCAAACATTTTGCAGCAGAGTGTTTGCTTCCTAATTACTACGGCAAATAACGAGCAAGGTTAAATGTTCGATACGTGGGTGATAATTGACTACATCAAAGTGACAAAAAATAGAAATAGAACGCGACATTATGCTAGATAAATTTAGCATCTAAAACCACACTGAATTCAGTAACAAATAACACAAAAAGGATGCGCTGTACAAAGTAAGAAATGAAGAAAACTAGCTTGGCGACGGAGCATTGGGCAGCGAATGAGGAAACCTTCACGCAAACGTCAAAATTCATTCAAATAATAATAATAATAATAATAATAAAAACTTAGGAATCTCTAGGCAAGCCGCTGCATCCGGAAATTTATATTAAATCGACCGTACAGTTGAGACCTGGTGCTCTAGTCCAGGGAGGATTACTGAGGAACACTACAGCCAGTGGGGTAGTATACATGCGTTTATAAAACATAAAGTAAAATTGCGGTACAGAGAGCTTCTTAAGTTCTAAAGCATAAAAGTATAAACCTCTGACCTTTTGAAATATTTGCTTGCTAAGCAAGCTGAATTAGCGTCAAGAGCATAATATTTGTAAAATGCATCATTTTAATTAATGTGCACTTCTTTAATTCATATGCTAATTCAAAACTCTCCTTGCATCATTACTATATATTTCCTAACCATAGTGCAGCAGAAATATATTTACCTTCTCGTACACAGTAACGAACAATGAACATTTATTCATAACGGATAAAATAGCTCCTTCTTGACAATCCTGTAAGATCACCAGAACGATGATCATATAACTAACAGTTAATAAATAAGAAATAAAAATGAAATTCCGTTTTTTGGTGGCGCACCAGGTTTCCTCACCTACACGTTAGGGGGAGAGCTGGCAAATATATAGCTTATTTTGAGTTATCTCGTGTCTGAGTGAAACGGAGGATATCCCGTATCGCAGACTTGATACATTGTCTTCAAGATGTTTTAATAGCGTTAGCGTTGGGGCAAAAATGAATGACTTGAGTCGGAGCAGCGTTCCAAAATCCTGCTACTCGACAGTAGAAAATGTGTCTTGGACACTTAGGTCGGCTGTTTTACGTAACGCGTTCGAAATGATGGCCTCCATAGCCGCGACAGTCATGATATAGTTTTATCAGCATTAGCTAAATTTTGACGAGATGGACTCGCTGATGCACATGTTCATCGCTTTAAAATCCCTGGGCTTGCAGTAGGCATTATTAGGGACGTGAAACAAACCTATAAAAAATTTAATTACCATACGTTGTGGAGCTGCAAGAGCATTGATATCGTGTTTAAACCAGGAACGCACGTTCTGCTCGTGTACTCCACTTGGGACCCCAAGTAAACGCTCAGCGTCTGCTGAAAAGTATATGTCTCAAACATTCCGAAAGCCCACTAAAGTAGTTCAACGGGCGTACTGGCTCTACGTGCTAGCTTTACAGCCTGTTTCCAGCAGTCATCTGTAACGATTACCCGAGTTCGCGTTCCTAGGAAGCGGGTTGCAACTGTTCGTCCCCCAGTCGAGATTCATAGGTATGACAATGAAGTTTGCTTAAAGCTTTATCTTTTAGCGCGTTGAAATGGAGCTGTTGGTCAGATGACTACGTATAGATTTTGTCGTGCCCACTTTACAGTTCTGCGTGATTGTCCATTATGTTAATGTAGCCAATGATCTTGTTGGGTGGAGCCTGAGATACTAATCGGTAATCAATGACACATAAGAGACATGTCGTATACGGGACCAGATGGAAGTTGGAGGCGACTGAACCCAACGTATAGTGTACAGGCTACAAAAATAGGAAGCGAATTAACCAGAGCGAGAAACGGTGCAGCAAGCTACTCACCAAAACGCTTTCTGTCAACGGATGTGCAGTCAGTAAAACAAGTGGTTAAAGAGGTTAAAACAACCGTAAAATCTAATGTTGCAAAATACTGAAAGAGCGTGTTCTCCGGTATTGCCTCCCCCTAGAAGACTGAAGGATGGAAGCCTTCGATGGAGCTGTTAGTGGGAGAAAACAGAAGGTAAGGATGGGTGCGGATAGTTGAGTGGGATTGAGGAAGGGTTTCCAAGGTATGGTGTGTAGCAGAGTTCGCTGGGTCCAGGCTTTCGTTAGTTATTATTTATGATGATCGTGTGGACCAGAGTACATCATCGGTGTGCCGTCGGGACGGGCTGGTCGGACTGCAAAAGGAAATTGCCTAGTCCAGAAAAACGGCCGGCAGAACCTTCCCTTTGCTGCAGATCCGACGGTGCGCTTTGGAGGTGTCACGCCCCCCACCGCACTCCAGTCCACAGTCCTCGTCCCACGAAGAAATCCAGACGTCCTCGTCCCACGAAGAAATCCAGGCGTTCTCGTCCCACGAAGTAATCCGGCGTCCACGTGGGCAAAGCCTAGCTAGAGGTTTCGGGACCAACCCGCTCCAGGCTGCCTGCGGCCGAGGGCGACTGACTGTTCCTTGGGGGAGGAAGGATGCCTTGGGTCGGCTGGCGAGTTAAGCGAGGGTTGCGTTGAGACGGTTGGCGAGTCATCCGAGGGTTGCCCTCTTGGTTCCGGCGGTTGAGTATCTGGAAGGTAGAACTCAGAGGGGTGGGCAAGGGTCGTTGGAATTGGCTTGACGCCGGAGAAGAAACATGGCATGCATGCTAAAAGCAAATAAGCTTATTGCGTTTTCAAAATGTTTTGGGTGTCTTTTTGTCGCTTTTGCAAAACGTTTACGAACAAGGCGCACGATAATCACTAAAGACGAAAATGGCGTGTTAATGGAAATAGCAAACGTTTCCAACATATGAAAAATAGACCGGATGTTTGCCCTGTCTACCGCGTCGTTCGGTCGTCTGGGGTTGAGGCGGGGTAGAGTGAGGGTCAAGGGGAACGGATGGTCTCGGGATATGCAGTGCTCGGGAAGTCACCGCAGATGCGGGTGCTTATGCGATAGCATCAGGATGGGTTGCAAGTGGTTCATCAAAGAATGCCACTTTGAGGCGGTCGATGGACGTCGTTGTGTGATGACCATTCTGGTCTAAAGTAAAATGTTTCTGAATCCGTTGCAGAACTCTGAAAGGGCCAGTGTAGGGAGACTGGAGAGGGCGCCGCACTGCGACGGTGCGGAGGAAGACACGTGTTCAGGTAGAGATTCCTCTGTGCATTTGCATATCTCTAGTCTGTTCACGGGCGGAGTAGGGCGTAGTGACCGCATGTGTTGAGCTAGGAAGGACGCAAAGTTAGGCGGAGGCATACCCGACGATGCGGGAGGTGAAACGAAT